GTCTATGAGTTCACAGGTGCGGAATCCCTTACATACTCTCCATAGGCAGGTAGGTCGGTAATGAGAGCAGGATTGTCGGGAGCAAACCTCAGTAGGACCCTATCATCGTATTCCAGAGCAATGAAATCATTCGCAGCAAAGAGTCTGATCTCGGCATTGTTTGTGACTCTGATTGGTTCCAGCTGTTCAAAGTCGGAACCCACTATGGGGACACAAATGTTTTGTGGTGAAGACGCTACAAACCTCATCGTTTGGGTGTACAGCTTACCTGCAGTGCCATCTGCTGTGGCGGTGATGACTCCAGTGACAACAAGAGCACCACCAAACTGTGTCATTCCCTTCACATTGAGTTGAAACATAGTGACCAACTGTTGATCCTCCACCACATCATATGCAGCTTGAGCAAACCCATGAACTGAACAAAGGAACAGAGTGGTCAGTCAATGCAGTCATTGCAAACACCTATCTGACATACCTATACAGAGATTGCAGGAGCTATCGTTGTATGATAGACCTGCGTTAGTACCAACACAGCAGTCTGCTTGATCTGCTATTGGTAGCCCTGCTTCTGTTACGTCTATTGTATCTCCAGCGCAGACTGTGTCATTGAAACACTGGCAGTTGCCTGTAAGGAGACAGGTTGTGAAAAACATGAAGAGAGAGGGCAAGAGCATGGCAAGTGTAAAACAAATGGTTAATAGATAATAGGTGGTTGGTATACCTGTGCCTTCAGCTACAAAATTTCGGGGGAAAAGCTTCAGCTGGCTTAAGCTACATAGATACGCGAGAAAATTGCACTCAAAGTTACCTCCTTGCATGTGGAGAAGTCCCACGGCTGCAGCTACCACAAGAAGTTTCTGCAACATCTCCCAGTGAAATTGCAGTATCTAACAGGGCCAACAACTCTGCATGCAACACTGACAAAATCTCTTTTATTCCAGCACACAAGAGTATCACACAACCAGGAAGTTACGGTGGGCGAGAGAGACAATTAGAATTACGTGTTTCCTTTTAAATTGTAGCTGCCTTTACTATCAACTGCTTTACTATCAATTCATACAAACAGAGCAGTTCATAATGCACTCCAATATGTACATGTGTCATGGAGTTGGATATGTGCACTTTGAGGTCCTACTTCTTTTGTAGCCTATATACTACAAAGTAAGTTAGGTATGTGCATGTCTTGTAGCTGCATTGATAGTCTGATGAGGCAGGTTTTACCACATAACAATGGTCTCCTGCTTAGGTCTGCAATATCCACACCAACTGGTGACTATTGTGGTTGCCTACAAATACAACCACCTCATAGTGCACTCCATTGGAGTTGCTCTTTGAAGTTGTAAAGTAAAGAGAACTGCTTGTGCTGCCTTGCAGATTAAGATTAAGCAGCACTACAATACTACTGTTATTAGCACCAGCTAGCAGGCTATCCTTCTTTTGTGGGCTAGCTCAAAGTACACTGAGTATAAGCAGCACTGAGTAGTCTGCCTGGTATCATTTTTTGTGGCTGTTAACAAGACCAGGCACCAGATCAGAGAGAGCTGCCCTGAGTATGTAGTACTATCTCACAAGCTTTTGACTTCAGGTCGTTGTGAATGTTCTCATGGTGCAGTAGATATCAGAGGATTCAATTGCTCACAGAGGGGGCGGTCCTGAGTACTAGTATCTCACAAGCTTTTGACTTTGTGTGTGCTCGCCTCTACACGTATATAGTTAGTTGGGGGACTCCGCCCAACGTAAGTGAGCCATTGCGCATGCGCCAAATTTAGAGTCCGGAGAAAGTTTATTTAGAGTCCGGAAAATTTGCTCTACTCGAATTAGAGTCCGCGCATGGACCAATCAGATTGCGCGATTTAAATTACCCAGCTCTAATGACCTATATAGTACTACTGACTACTGCTAGTCGGCTAAGGGAAGAGATCAGGAGTGAGCTGAATGAAGCTGGAAACTTTCTGCTAACAACGATCTCAATTGTTCATTCCTGGCTACACTCCAAGTCACCCTGCCTCCTCCTGCAAGGAGATCCTCCAGCTAGCCCCACAGCCTCCCTCAGGTATCTAACGGGATCAGTACAACTGACAATGGACCCAGTCAAATGTACTGTGACATGGAGAGGAGCTGCAGAGGTGTAGCTGGAGGCTGGATGAGGGTGGCTATAGACATTACTGACACTAGCAATGCCTGCCCGTCTGGTCTGAGGACCCTGACCTGAGAACATTAATGGTGGTGGATGCTCTTGATTGGCTAGAATGCAGTAGAGTAGTTATGTGTGGCAAGATCATTGGATACTAGCAGGGGCACGCAACTGTCCAATTCTTCTTGTGACTGGAACGTTGGAACTAATGCAGCCTAGCTACATGAAATGACGATGCTGACTCAGTTCAGTAGACTTGGCATGCTTTATACCAGATTTCAACTATAACAACAACAGCAACAACTACAAATAACACAAAAACAACCTGTTGCTACTATAGACTCATGAATCTGATGACTCCTGCAAGAGAGAGAGAGGGAGAGAGAGAGAGAGGAAAGAGGAGTCATAGAGAGTGCAGATTCAGAATTTTTGAACCATGAAAAGTCTCGTATACAGTGGAACCTCCGAACAAGGGACACTATGGGGCCAACAATTTTCTCCCTTGTATAGAGGTCGTCACACGACCTCTATACAAAGGACACTCGTTTCAACCCCATGTTAGTACCTTGTATGTATTATTTTACCTCCGCACATCCTCCCTACAAAGGACAAAAGCATTTGCCCCACAGTGCCCCTTGTTCGGAGGTATTATCCCACTGTATGCACAGTGCAATATACGAGTGGCCGTGTGAGATTAAGGTGAAACACAAATGCATTTCAACAACAAACAGTTAAAAAAACAAGGGAGCAAACAAACATAACACTTTCTTGTGTAAGGTTTGTGGGGGGATCGAGGTGTCCTAACAAGGTCTACATGTTTGGTGTCCTAGAAGGCTGTCACATGATTTTGCCTTTGACTCATGTGATCTAGTGAGAATATCATGTGCCATTTGCTAGTCTCGTAACCAGTCGCTTGGCTCAGTTTTGCCATACAATTATCAGAATAATTATTATTTTACTCCATTGTGCCAACATTTACATGCCTTTAAAGTGACAATATCTAACAAATTGCATTGTTTACCACTAAAAGGTCCATGTGCATTGCTCGTGTCACTCCACATGTTGTATACCTCAAGTCGCACTTCTTCCTTGCTCTCTTCCATGACCAGTTGGTATAACGTTCAATCAAGGGAAACAACATTTTCTTGTTCAAGACGTTTTCTCTATGAACATTTTTACAGTTGAACGAGCAAATTTCCCCTAGGAATTCTGAATTCCAACTGATTTTTGTGATCATTTCCTCCCTTCACTTAACAGTATGCATACATGTATGTTTCAAATTCGTCTTTTTCCTGCACTGCACTGTAAGTATATACCTAGTAGTTTGATCACCTGACTATCATGTGACTCTCATGTGTGCAGGTTACTCGCAGACCCAGAGCGATATTGACGAGGCCGCGTTTGCCGCCGCGGGTAACGCCTACGCTCCCTACCCACTCCCAGACGATCCTCCGTCCGTCCCCTTCACCCCAACTACTCCACACCCTCCCTACGTCCCCTATGAGGTATATATATAACACAATCTCAACCCTTGCTGTATATAAATTTGAACCCCTCCCTGAATGCGAAATCTTTCCTGTCTAACGGTGCATCAACCATAATACCATGATGTTTACGTGATTCTAAATACGCACCAAATAAACACGCATGAAATATTATTCAACAGCTTGCCAAAAATGCGTAGCATTCTTCCACTTAAGAACAGTTGGGTTTTCTTGCATTCTACATAACCCCTGAAATAGCTTCACTAATATGGACACTTTATTTGTGCCAAAGGCATTGGAGAGCCAGACCTACAGCATTCTCATATAATATGTTATGGTATTTGAGTACATGTATATATATAGCTCCTTATTTTAACAACCATCTCCATCGGGATTCTATAGGGGTTTGTTAAATTCCGATGAGATCAGCATTTCTTTGAGATCACAGGTAGAAGACTTGCAAGTGTATTTCGTGTGTCTTCATCCTTGAGCTGTTTACTGACACGAGAGTTTGTGGAAGCCAATGTTTGTGTGGCCTTGTTGCTAGCTCAACTGTCAGCTGACTTTAATTACTGGTGATGTCACCACAAACAACACAGCGGCTGACATTACAGCCTCCTTAGGTCACACATGGAGGGAGTTCAGCTGCTGTATATCCTTACTCTAACTCCCTCCTCTTTCAACTTTTCGTAGTCGCAAAGTGGAGATATTGCCTTGACTTAACACCTGCTCTTGAAGTTGGTGCTTTTTGTTTGTGTGTACGCCCATTGCCCAATCTGCATGGATTATAAGGTGTTATGTCAGCACTGTAATGTATCAATCGTAATTGCAGCTTTTTCCTGTGGTGGCTCACATCTTACAGTGGAACCTACAAACACTGTAACCGGGCATTTTCTCCTCTATAGGGAGGTTGTCCTCCCTTCAGAGGTTAAAAATGTACTAGAATAAAGAAAAATGATCGTTTGGGACCTCAAAAAACGACGTGTCCTTTATTGTGAGGTTTTTTTTCCTATAGTGTCCTTTATCGGAGGTTCTAATGTATATGGCTGTGTCTCCTTTAACGGTTTTCTGCATGAATAGTCCTCAGCTGTTTTCTACTCTTCATTTGCAGATTGAGGAGAATGATTCAGTTCGGTACCACCCCCATAGCCGGGGCGGGGCGGCACTGCAGCCACACCCATTCTCCCGCTCCCTCTCAGAGGAGGCCCACCTGGCTGGGATGATGATGGGAGGTGGAGGAGGAGGAGGAGGGGTGGCGGGGGGTAGCAGGATGGGAGGAGGGTACGACTCCAGGCTGGACGAGGAGGGAGCACAGTTCTCTCAGGACCTGCCAGGTTAATAACGCAAGCACTGAAGTGCAAACCCTAGGTACAAGGAACACCAGCACATAGCACACTAAATTTTCTGTTCTTTGTACTTTTGTGTGTATTTATTGTGTGTTTCCCTATATTTTTGTTACAAACAAAGATGTATCATTATGGAATTATAATAATGCATTGTTGAATAATTAAAGTGGCTGCCTTTAATTTGGCACTGTTGAATGTAATGCGAAGGTAGCTTCTGTGTGTAGTGTCACATGGTGAGGCTGGACATTAGGTAGTTGGCCAGGGTTTCCCTCTCCCTCTCTCCCTCCTCTCTTCCTGACGACAAATGGTACACATCCTCTGGAACACCTGGTGTGGAGGTATAATATAGTAGGGAGCAGCTCTTTACAACAACAAAAAACGATCATCAGTTTTCCATGAGAAGCCATAAAATCTCTAAACCATGATATTTAACCCTTTGGATACAATAGGTATCTCCTTCAACAAACATTTATCGCCTAGTATATATTTAACTCCCACATAATACACCCCCCACTTATGAAGGCTCTGGACACATTATTGCGGCTGGTTAAGTTTAAAAACACTTTGGATGCCATGGTATCTCCTTAAATCAATATCTGCTTGTTTAATGAGATACCCATGGCACCCAAAGTGTTTTAAAACCTAACCAGCTGCAATAATGTGTCCAGAGCCTCCATAAGTGGGGGGTGGTTATGTGGGAGTTTGATGTATAATATAAATTCTTATGGACTTTGGTACATGTTATCCCAGCAACGACCCATTAGGAGGTATATATGATTTATTGGCTTGTAGTAACACCCACTTAGATGTACTATCTGAGCAGCCTGAGCTACTTCCTAATCAACACCCTCTTGGCTTTCCTAAATTCAGGCATTATGCTGGAAAAACGTGTACCAAGTAGGTTTGATGATGGCAAGTATGCTCTATTCGCGCTGCACGCTCATAGAGCACACCTGCCACCATCAAACCTATACATGGAGGCTCTGGGCATAATGTGCCTGTGGCTTGCTATTAATGTCCTGGTTAACCAAGGTCCTCATACAGTCTGGGTGGATAGTGTCAATGAGCTTTTTGTAAATCATAACCAGCATTAAGCTACACCCACAGGAGCACATGATGGCAGAACAGTCAACAATCAGATGCAGCAGGGAGAGCCTGGGGTGTCTATATACATACGTAGCTTTCTCTGGGAGCTGTGTGAATGTACCTCAGAATTTAGAACCTGACTCTTGGCCTTTTTTGTGTGATCAGTTAAATTTGGACATACCTTCAAGTGAAGAATGGCAGATCTGCTGGACGTTTTCACCTGACAGCTCCATCATGATACATGGACCTGTATCATTATGAGTATACATCTAATTGTTAACAGTCACTGTGGTTGGGTTGGTACGTCTTGTTAGCTGATGCTTCATACCGATAATGTAACATTCAATGCATAAATGTGCCTGGAGAGAGTTAAATAAAGTTGACCTGTCTTGATCTGTGCCAGCAAGCTCTTGTGGTCACCAAAGAAAGCCTGTGCCTCGTTTCCCTTGAAATGAGAGTGGCAGGTCTGCACTAGCACCACCTGGATTCAGAGTGTCCACAGAGAGATGAAGTTCAGATTGAGGGCTAGGGGCTATAATAGTCATATCATTTGCAGACCTGATCCTGTAGCTTTGTAAGTAATTCTCTGGCTCTGCTCTCTCTCTCCTCTCCTGTCATCACCACCACACAACCCTGCAAACACACACACACACACACACACACACACACACACACACATACAAGACAGTTTCTCTCACTTCTTTGCCTTCTCATGTAGCTATCCCTCTTCGCAAAAACTTTGCAGTAATGAAAGGGAGTGGTTTAGTTTGTTAACAGAAATGGATTACATCCTGGGCATTTTCCACAGCTTTTACATTATCCAAAGGGTATTCTCATTATGTGCTAGCATTTTATGCATGCAGCTATTCCATGGGCAATATTGAAGGCAAACACCTTTCAAACCTATGCATAGTGTGTGTATCCATTAGTTCTTTCCCCCATTCCATTCAGTGCTCATAATCATGCTTTCGTCCCCTTGCTTTCGTCTATATTACCTCTGATTCAGTCGGTCTTGCCAAAGGCCCAACAGAATAGGGAACTGTACTTCGACCTCTCTGGAATGTTAAGCCACACCCACTAATGTCCCCCTCACTCGGTGGTGTGATGGGAGGCGTGGTCTCTTGGGCAAAGGACCAATCAGATTCTCCGCCCTGGTTGGTGAAGTTGTGGATGTGACTCCATTGGTTGTTGAATGGGTGAAGATCAGCAGAACTGAACTGGTCTGGGCAGTAGGTACAGTGGAAAGATAATTCACTGATTACTACACAAGTTATCCCAGCCTACGAACATCTCCTGCATTAAAATGTCATGGATGGATATCAACCTCAACATAAGTTAAGAGTTCTCTTGCCAACAGCCTCATAAACATACAACTAGCTGGTACATTTTTGATTTAAAATGTGGATTCGTAACAGTTATGACAATTGCATGCTCTTCAAAGTGCTTCAAAGTCTGTGAATTTGACTGCTTCTTTATCATCCTGAGAGGATTACAGTTAGACTTTAGTTAATTATGGTAAAACTTACACAGTTTATCCTATATAGTTTTTAACAGTTGCAGATTGCATTGAGTGTGTGAATAAATTGACTTCTTGTGTTGTGTTTATTGATAGTGAGAGGGTTACAGTTAGTATGTAGCTACCTCTGAGTTTGTCATAGTAGGCCTGGAAGCAGCTAAACCTGAGCCTGTGACTGGACTCAATGACAGGCTGGCTCTTGCAGTGGAGGTAGACTGTACATTTCCTGCAGTCTCTGGCTCTGAACTGCTGACACGCCACTACCACTGTACAGCCCTCACACTGCCTCACAAACACACTGTGCACAGAGTGATAGTGGGAGACGTTTTGGATTAAACTTGTTTGAAAGTACAATACAGAAATTGTCCTTCAAATTATGCAATACACAACTCATATATAGCTTTTTACTCATAATGGGTCATTAAGCATAAGAGTCCATAGAGCATTGGTACACTTTAACAGTTGATGTATAATTATAAATACAATATTCTTGTCATCTTTCACCAGGTTATTGGCGATCTGAATGCAGGATTTTTCTATGTATGTGACGGGCACTGCACATACTGCACTGTGATTATAAATACGGGCGTGAAAAATTGAACTACTTGCTCATTTGCGCTGCAAAAACTGTGATGCTATATGTAGTACATTATTAACTCACTACAGTGTCATACCTGCCTCCACATGGCCCCAGTACCAAGGTGCAGTCAGTGCAGCCATGGATGGTGAGGGAACTGGTAGTGTCCAGCACAAAGATCTCACACTGCCTGCAGTCCTGGATGTGGAACTGACGACCACTCAGTTGCCCCGGCAACCGACAAACAACCACACCCACTTGGCCCGAGATGATGAGCTGGCTTCGATCAGGGCGTTCTTTCTTTTCCCTTTAAATCATGGTTAGCAAACCCAGAGTAGCTATACCAAATATAGTTAAGTGCACACTGTATTTTGGTATCATAAAACCAAGATAAACTGCATTCTGCCTAGTTAGCCAACATTGATCTAGAATGAGCCTTTGCCATTTTAGTTCACCTCGACATGCATCTTAGACTGGACTCAGGTGTAATACCTAGGAAAGAGGGGTCACAATTCTGCACACCCCAGCAACGTGTTTCAGACAAGATCTCCATAAGGTAGCTAATCCCCTTCACCGAGTTTATTTACCAGCTGTATCTGGGTCTGGTCTCTGCAAGAGGCTCTCTGTCTGTCCTCTCTTCACCACTGGACACACAGCACCCCATGATCGACTCTCGCGCGGAGCCGTCTGCGGAGAGGCTACTACTCAGATCCACCCCTTTCTGGGAGGCTGTAGCGCATGCGCATTACACTTAGCGTGGCACCTACCTCGCGACGAGAAGTCGCGGTAACCACTGATTTTGCTACGCGGTTTCTCACTGAAGTTCGGGAAATGCAAGTTCTAGTCTTGCTAGTGGCTCTGCTGAGTGTGTGTTCTTGGACTACACTAAGTGTGGATGGTAAGATTCTTAGCAAGCTAGCTATCTGCAAATCATGGCGGCGAAACCCGTTATAATAATAACTAGAATGATAGATGACATAGCCCCTACCACCCTGCAGATAAACTTTTGCTTGAGAAATGTGTGAAATTTGCGGGATATTTGTGCTTGCAATAATGCTGCGTACCCTTTCAAAATGTATGGGGAATATGTATCCCTATTCCCTGGATCTCACAAATGGCGATTTTGTAGTGGGATGGGCAGTATTTTTTCAAGCAAAAACCTTGATGGTTGGTGGGTAGGATAGCTACAACAATTGATGTTCATAATCACTGCAGGTGTGACCATCTCTCTGAATGGTGAGCCTATTCCAAACAATAGCATATCAAGGAGAAGTGTGTACGACTTTGAGTGCAAGTTATAGTCTTGCTAGTGGCTCTGCTGAGTGTGTGTTCTTGGACTACACTAAGTGTGGATGGTAAGATTCTTAGCTAGCTATGTGCAAATCATGGCGGCTAAACCCGTTAGCTATATAGCTAGTAGTAGAGGATATAGATCCCTACCACCCTGCAGATAAACTTTTTCTCGACAAATGTGTGTTTGGGATGTTTGGGATATTTCTGCTTGAAATAATGCTGCGTACCCTTTCAAAACTTATGGGTGATACGCATCCCAGATAGGTGAATATGGAAATTTTCTAGTGGAATGGGCAGTATTTTTGCTTAATTTTTCAAAAAACCTCGATGGTTGGTGGGTAGGTTGCCCATAGCTATGTTGTTTACAACAATTGATGCTCATAATCACTGCAGGTGTGACCATCTCTCTGAATGGCGAGCCTATTCCAAACAATAACATATCAAGGAGAAGTGTGTATGACTTTGAGTTTGTGAATTCTTCGACAAAGCTATGAGGTGTTAGTCTGAACAGTCTGTCTCTGAAATCCCTGCATCTACTTATGGATGTCATGTTGGTGGTGGAGATACTCCAGTCCCTTGTGTTTGGTCAGAACCAGAGAACATAATGTTTACTAGAACTAGTAGTAGTTGTTGTGTAACTCGAGGATGGATTGGAAGGAGAGTAGACGAAGGTGGTCATAGAGTACACTACTTGTGGAGAAGGTCGGAAACTCCAGAGGAAGGATATATCAACTGTCATATGATTGTGACATTAACCCTGTATTAGGACTGTACATCCTCTACCCCAGTGAGTGGCCATCTCTCATGATGATATACTGAGAGATGTTCAGTATTGTTCCTCTCCTCCAGTCACTGAGGTAACTGCAACTATTGAGGTGGAGACAGGAACATTGACATTCAGAGTGAGGTGTACCTCCACTGGTGGTAGAGCTCTCAACATGGCCGTCTCTGGACCTAATGGATACAAATCTGACATCAGTGCCAACATACAGCCAATCGGTAGCTACTCCACGGTTTCTGAGTAATGACAGGTTGCTACACTGCCAGGACTGAAGTTATACCCAGTGGCAGAGATGGAGATGTATTCCAATGCAATGTCACTAGTGTTACATCAACAACTGCTAATGTAACTGTGAGAGGTAAAGAATTCATTTGCACAATTTCAGAATATCGACTATGTGTTATTCTACTGCAGTGGTACTCGACCCATAATCTCACTGGAGCAAACAGCTCCCACTACTGTTAGGGTGACCTGGTCTCCAATACCAGAACTCCCTGTGTCGTACAGAGTACACTATCTCCTAGCTGGGGGAACTGGTGGAAATGGGACTAAGACCGTTGCTGCAGACACAACTAGTACTGAAATCACTGGTCTAACTAACGGAGAAACCTACATCATCTCAGTAGATGTTGTTTCCATGTCACCTGTGTCATTCCTGCAGTCGTTGAAGAGATTATTACCCTTGGTATGCACTTTCTTCTCCCCCACTCCCATAACACAAGCAGAAACACTCACACGCATGTGAAGATAATAGCTACCTTGCCCCATATCCAACACCCACACACATACTCACTTACCATTCCTTACTTACTACTTTACTCCCCCATTACACTTTAACCACAGCTCCAGATACTCCCGAAAGGGTAGTAGTTACTGCAGAATCAGCCAGTGTCAGAGTGTCCTGGAATGCAGTAGAAGATGCTGACAGATACACTGTCACATTTTCTCAAGTTCGGGGATGTTACCAGCAGGGGCTGTGCAACCCTACCAACTCTCATACTGCCACTCTGACAGTCAGTGCTCCATCCACTACTGCCAGTATTGCTGTAGGAGGAGATGTGGGGTCAACAGTGACTGATATGTTGAGAGCCTACAACACATATGAGGTGACTGTGAATGCAGTCAATGATGTTAGAGGTACCAGTCGACCCAGGGAGATCAGGAGAGTTCTAACACCACAGACAAGTTAGACCCACCAAATAGTCTCACAGTCTGTGCGTATGTGTGTGTGGTGTATGTGCAGGTACAGGAGAGGCTCCTGGGAATGTGAGAGCAGAGGCTGAGAGCTCCACTGAGATCTCTGTCCAGTGGAGTGGCCTCTCCAACTGTAGACTGGTCAATGGTCGAATCACTCAGTACAGAGTTCAGTTCACTGCCAACGGCAGAGCTGAGACTGTAGACCAAGTGCCAGGAGATGGAGAAGACTGGATGAGTGGAGGACAAGTTACACTGACTGGACTCATTTCCCTAACCAACTACTCCATATCAGTAGCAGCTGTGAATGAGAATGGAGATATTGGACTGTATTCTGAGCCTTTAGCCGTACTACCTCTGCAAGCAAGTAGGTCACATGTACAATGTGTAAGTGTAGCATACTGAAAGATTTTCAGTGATAGCTGATCAGAACCTAGGCAACTATCATAACTGACTATGTCCACAACAATGTATGCACTAAAGTGCAGTAGTATTTCGTTTTCTCTCAATCTTATGTACTGCTACGAGCCTTGAGCGTGACTACGCTATCTCTTTCCCGACTCTGACAAATCTCCACATGCATACTACTATTATTCGTTATTAACCCCTCCGTGCGCGCATGCGCAGCGAGGTTCACGGTAGTTGTAGTGTGTGTCCTTCTGTGTGTCTGTCTGTCTGTCCGTTACCCAACATCTCACTTCACAAACAAGACCACGTATTCAGTGTAGGATAAAGGTCCAAAATTATGTGTGGTTTTCTCTGAAACTGCTGGGCTCGGGATATTATCAATGCTTGATTACGTAATGATTTAGTTCAGAATCTAATTGAGTACAGATACGCTAACTGTCATACTCTTCCCCCTATAGTAGTGGGGCTGGCAGAGCCATCCTACACTGTATCACAGTCAGATGAAGTGGTTGAGGTGTGCATCAAAGCAGTTGGTACCACTTCTTCGTGCCCCAGCAGCGAGTCTTTCCATGTCACCCTTTCCACTAGCGATCAAACTGCAGGTAACTACGAATACATTGAAGACCCTATGAGAACAACCCATTGATAATGACTAGCCAAAGATAAAGCGATGGTGTCATATAGCTTTGCGGTCTTTGCTGTGTAATGACCCCTTCTCTCTTCCTGTTTGGTGCTTCATGCTATCCCTTATACCCCTTCCAATGACTTTTCCACTTGCATGCATACTGGCTACCAGATCATGCAAAGTTTGTTCTGTACAGAGAGTCCAGCAGACTATGTGGCAGTGGACCAAGTGCTGACGTTTGCTGCCTGTGAGAGCCAGCGTTGTGTGAATGTGAGTCTGGCCAATGACCTGGTCAGTGAACCGGAGGAGACCTTCTCTCTCAGTCTCACACGGTCCACCAGATCTCACATCTCCTTCACCTCCGCAACTGGAGTGGTGGTTATCACCGATGACGATGGTGAGAGAAATACCTCATTCATAACAACATTCTCTTCTTTGTTTTTTTCCTTTTGCTCTCTTTATTGCTCCCTTGCACCCTTTTAAAACTTACACTTCAGTTTTGCTGTCATTGTTTTGATATTCTCATGTGTTATTGTGTCATTATGTAAAGATAAAAATATGGTGTTAGACATTTAAAATTAGAGTGTCTGAGGGGAATAAATTTTGATGTGTATGAGCAGGAGTGGGGAGGGGCCTAGACTCCAAACAATGAATGTCTGGGCATGGTCATCAGCACATACCAGTGGCAAAGCCTTGTGTGGATGAATCTCATTAGTTCAGAACCACAAGTGCTGTGCTCATGTCAGCCTTTATAAACTCAGTGATGCTAGAGAGAGAAGTTGTGGTATGCTCTGCTGATGAGTGCCAACAAGCCCGAAACAGCTGTCCAGAGCTCCATCTTTTTTCTCTTGGCATCACATGGTTTTTCTACATGAATGAGCATGTGAAAACTATATATGAGGTAGAAAGGCAAAGGCACAACAAACAAGTCAGCTACACCCAGGACAGCTCTTTTTCCGAGGAAAAGCATGCACGGCATAGCTCATTTTTTCCACCAAAAAAAGCATGAAAAAATGTTTATAGCATACTAGCTAAAACAATAATATCAGAGGAAAAGAAAGAACCTCCCCCACCCAAGCACACAAAACATACCCAAGCATACAAAAACACAGACAATAACATATAAACAGAAAGAAAGAGGCACGACCCTGGGTGCCCGCTGGCACGGATAGCTTTCCTCACCAGGTGTGATGAATGCTAATTTTAATGTCATCCCCACAGATAGTCCAGCTGGGGTCAGTTTCCTCCCAGTGAACGCCACAGGAGTGAGGATCTCCTGGAGTGGCAGTGTCCACCTCCCCACCTCCATCCACTACACCGTCTCTCTCTCCACCACCGGCATCATCATGAGCCAATACAACAGGGTCTACCCACCTGGAACCACCTCCGATGTCGTGGTCTTGGAAGATGACATCACCCTTACAGACGAATATGTGCACAATTTCACCCTCCACTACATCACTCAGAATGATGATGTCCCAGGAACTCAAACCATTGCCTCCTTCACTTTCGGTAAGAAAATCTGGTCTATAAATTACAGCAAGCATGCTTATCCACTCTACAGATAAGAAGGACTTTCAGATTCAGTTTGGACCATTCCACTTTTGCCTGGATTGGGGAGTAAGTCTGTAGTGTGCATTCGTGAGAAGTTCTTTGGTTGACTACTGTTAAATCCCTGCAGCTGGAAAAGACAGTTCGCATTGAGAAGCAACTGCAGAGTTATTTGATTCAGATCCTCCGTAAGGATTGTGCCGATTGCCATGGATTAACCCCGTCATTCCTGAGACCAGGACTGTTTCTCTGCCACAGTAACCCCACCAAGACCACCTACCGCTCAACCCTCGTTAACCCTTTCCCCACTACAAACTCCACCCACCTGGTGGACATTATTCATAGTTGGGTGTCCATGGGTCCGTCCTCGTTCTAGACGGTCTGCTGGTGAGGGTGAGTCCGGCCTGCCCCACACTCTATCTCCAGTCTCGATGAAGAAGAGTGTGAGAATGGTACCACATATGACCCACAACTAGGGGACAGGATTACTCAGACTCTCAATGTCTGTGCTCTGAGGAACCTTGGAGAGGAGGTCTGCAGGCTTGGTGGCTGCTGAGTTGCGGACACATACTTAGTTATAGTTAGCTTGCTATGTCGTTGACTGTATTATGTGGGACTCATTTTCAACTAAGGTAGCAAGCAAAAAGTACATGCAAGTTTGTATCTAGAAAAATGTATGGTATCCCCCCACTACGGTTATCGCACATATGCAGCATCAAGTATCATAAACAGTGAAGAAGAGAGAGAACGAGAGAGAGAGAGTAGGCTCATATCATGATATTTTAGGGAATATCAAAATAAGTTCATGCACCATTAGGCTTGATGTTGCAGTTTTTTAACAGTCATGGAGATTGTGCTTGAGAGAGTGTGAAGTGAGAGGGTTACAGTCAGTATATAGCTACCTCTGAGTTTGTCATAGTAGGCTGCGAAGCAGCTAAACCTGAGCCTTGGACTGGACTCAATGACAGGCTGGCTCTTGCAGTGGAGGTAGGACTGCCACACTTCCGGCAGTCTCTGGCTCGAACTGCTGACACGTCACTTACCACATACAGCCCTCACACTGCACTTACAAACACACTATGCACTGAGTGATAGTGGGAGACGTTGAGATGAAACTTGTTTGGAAGTATACATATTCTTCTTCTGCCAATACACAATTCATGATGTAGCTTTTTACCCAAGCATCATAATGGTCATTCATTAGTGCAAAGTGCTGTACAGGTAGAATTTAGAATTCGCAAACTATAATATGAAAACAGTGCAGTGTAGATCATGTCTGAAACACTTAGCTAGGGTGTGCATATTATGCACACGCTCAGAAGTTTTCTTCTGCGTAATAATGGAAGTAGTCATCTGAATGCTGGATTTTTCTATGTTTGTGATGGGCACTGAACATAGTGTAATATTCCATGTGATTCTATGCACCCACGTGAAAATTGAGTCAGCGCTCGCCCAAACTACGACGCATTTGTTCTGTGTGGCACTACCAGCCTTGCATGTGTCAACGCTCATCTCTTAGTGACTCTGGCTGAGTCGTCTCAAATCTGATTATTTTCCACCTCAATGCACTTTCTATACGAATCACGAGGTAAGATTACATAAAGAGTAGCTAATGAGTAAACAGTGTATGTAGAGTACGGGTGCTACATAATATGCAGTGTCAAAGCTATAATACCTGACTCCACATGGCCCCAGTACCAAGGTGCAGTCAGTGCAGCCATGGATGGTGAGGGAACTGGTGGTGTCCAGGACAAAGATCTCACACTGCCTGCAGTCCTGGATGTGCAACTGACGACCACTCAGTTTCCCCGGCAACCGACAAAGAACCACACCCATTTGGCCCGAGATGATGAGCTGGCTTAGATCAGGGCGTTTTTCCCCCCTTTAATCATGAATAGCAAACCAAGAGTAGCTATACCAAATATAGTTGAGTGCACACTGTTTTTTGGTATCATAAAACCAAGATAAACTGCATTCTACCTAGTTACGTAGTTCAATATGACACCATCATTGAAAATGAGCCTTTGTCATTTTAGTTCACCTCGACATGCATCTTAGACTGGACTCAGGTGTAATACCTAGAAAGAGGGTCACAATTCTGCACCCCTAGCTACGTGTTTCAGACATGATCTCACTGCACTGCTTTTATAAGGTAGCTAATCCCCTTCACCGAGTTTATTTACCAGCTGTATCTGGGTCTGGTCTCTGCAAGAGGCTCTCTGTATGTCCTCTCTTCCCCACTGGACACACAACATCCCATGATCGACTCTCGCGCATAGTCGTCTGCGGAGAGGCTGCTAAGATCTACCCTTTTCTGGGAGGCTGTAGCGCATGCGCAGTACACTTCCCGCGGCACCTCTAGCTATTGCAGCGCGATTAGGGCTGAGGAAATTATGCCCAAATATTTGAATTTTATTCTACTGGATCCTTCCATTATGTGCAATTTATGCTCGCTTGAAATTTTGAACACAGTATATACAAAACATAATAAAACAGTTAATGTCCATTAAACTGCAGCATAAGTGATGTTTCAATAATTATAAGAGGACTTAAGTAGCGAAAAAAACACGCTCCGCTGCTGCTGAAGAGGGTTGAACGAGTAGTATGGTTGAGGCAGCAGCTGACCAATGCGGTAGTGTCAATCAACAGCACTGGAGAGATAGCATGTAAGCTCAACCTTCAAGTTGTCGAGAAGAGTGTTGTCCTGATAGAAAGGGAAAGCTTTCAAGCTGTCCACAGATGATGAATCAGGAAGTAGATCATGACTTTGTGAGGCAGAACAATTGGGCAGCTTTGAAGGCATCGAAAACAGGTTTTAGCTCGTTCATAAACTTTAGGACAAAGTAATCAAAAGCTGGCTTTACACACGAAACTCCGTAAGCCACTAACTGCTGCTTGTTAGTGTTGTGTCCTTGTGAGAGTCTGTCTGCAACCCCATTGAGGTTGGGAAAATGTGCAACCTGGATTGCTTTGAATACCTTATCGACCTCTTCAAAGCAGGTAAGTACAAGTGGTCCATCACCTTCTAGGTGATAGGTTGTTTGCACAAGAGGTAAGCCGGCATCCACAGTAGCAGCTAGTTCGATCTTCAGCAATCCTTGTTTTTGCTGGTCATGAAGTAGATCGAGCATCTTTCTCCTTGTAGCCAACCCAACATCACCATTCTCTTCCAAGAACGGCTGCAAATCACCATACATTAATTTTGCATCACTTGCTTTTCCATTGTGTGTCACATGACTGCGCGCGCGCACGCGTACATCTCGGGTTGTATATTCTCGGATTCCAAAAAATTCCCAAATTATGCCCGGCATAATTTCCGCACCCCTAGGCACGACCAGAAGTCGCGGTAACCACTGGTTTTGCTGCGCGGTTTCTCATTGAAGTTCTGGAAATGCAGGTTCTAGTCTTGCTAGTGGCTATGCTGAGTGTGTGTTCTTGGACTACACTACGTGTGGATGGTAAGATTCCTAGCAAGCTATCTCCAAATCATGACGGCGAAACCCGTTAGCTATAATTTATAGCTAGAATAATAGATGATGTAGCTCACTACCACCCTGCAGATAAACTTTTGCTTGCCAAATGTGTGAAATTTGCTTGATTTGGGATATTTGTGCTTGAAATAATGCTGCGTATCCTTTCAAAACTTATGGGTAATATGCATCCCAGGATCTCACAATAGCGACATGGCCGAT